TCTCCGTAGCAATAAGCTAGCGGCCCGAACTGTTTTCAGGGTATTCATAACTCATTTGGGTCTACATAATGCACATAGTCTCGGCTCAAAAGCGATTGGACAGTTGGGGCCCTTCCCTCGTTAGTTTACTACAGTACACTATTCTTTTTTTCTGCATTACATTTACTCTCTCATCAATATTTACTTATGTATGAATAATTGCAATGATGAATAAATAGCCCTCTTATCTGATCAATGGGTTATGTTACTAAATACTACTCTGATGAATATTCAATAAGTACCTTGAGAGAACAATCGATAGTATAAAAAGACGAATTATTTCTATTGAGTTATAGTTGATCAAGGTAAGATTTATTGAAACCATATACTTCTGCTACGTTTGATATACACGTATTGCACAAAAAACGATGATGAAGACATTTATTTTTCTTGTTATTTCTGTATTACTTTTCGTCATTTCAACGTCGGATGCTAAACGTTTATTTTATGACAATGATAATGATATGGAATTAACAAAGCAAAAAGCTCGAATGTTTCTTCGTTCCATGTTAGATGGTAATAGTGATGATGATGATTCAGGATCGTTGGATACTCGTGAATTCGGCAAAAATTGTGTTCCATGTAAGTTCGGCTTGAATCCTTGTTGTGCACCGAATGTTTGTATTAATAAACGCTTCCGTCCAGATGAATGTATGGAAATTAAAACAGGCAAATAAAACGATTTATTATACAGGACTGATTTTCTTTTAATTTAGTCAAGTAAATTAGGCTTGACTACTTTTTTAAATATGTTGCATAAAACAAAACAATCTGTCGTATTTGTCTCATTTAAATACAAAAGTGCTTTTTGTTTCTGCTTTTTGCAAATGAAATAAATATTCACGCTTAAAAGTCTTCAATGTATCCAATTATATGAGCTTCGGCATAGTGAACTGAATTGGGTGTGGGTGAGGGTGAGCAAAGAGAATATGTAAATCTACATCTGCAGTAAAAGGACAGGGGGTGTATAAGAGGTGAAATTAACTCGTTAATATTTCTCTTGACAAAGTCGATTAAATCATATACCAATGAAAAGAGCATGATAAGACGAATGTTTTGGTACTAGTTTTATTAGGTATTGAACCGATTTACCGATCAGAAAGCTGTTATCAAAATAGAGCATTTGTGACTATATTTTTAATAATTCATCCTGTTAAAGTCGATTTGGTTTTAGAATAAACAAAGCAAGATAAACCATCAGTGAAATTTTGAGTATGATAGCTCTTTGATAGGTCTTCAATCCCATGGATAACTCATTAATCGGTTATTTAATTTGATGACATATAGGTCCGTTTCATTGTTTCACACTATTATATTTGTTTTTTAATCCACTGTTTTCTTTCAATGAATATTTGTCTTTATAAAGTGAAGCAACCAAACTTCATGTAGTTGTCAAGCATATTATTGTTTCGAAGCAATTTTTCCTGTTTTTCAAGAAATATCGATGAGAATCGACTTTCAAAAGTTCAATATGGGTCAAAAATAATATCATATTCGAAATTAGCATACAAAATATAGCCAATTCATAAGTGATTCAAAGATTTTCTGAAACATCCATTTTTCGAAAATTTTTCGGGTGTAGGTTTGAAAGTGGTACGGACTGTGGGTCTTCTCTTTATATCCATATCTACACCTCTACCCCGTAATTGTTGATGAAAAAGTTAAGTATCGTTCTAATTTCCTTGCAATTGAAAATCAATGTGAATTCAATTTATAATATTGACGAATAGTTTTAAAAGCGCAGAAAGTTTGTTTGTATGATTAACCAAATTTTTATTTATCTCAATTGACGAAAAAACAACAATACAAATTAAATTATTCTTGACTTGAGGATTTTATATCATTGTGATAAAAAAAACCCGAGGCCATACATCAATTATTCGTCTGCATAAGTGTTATTCGACCACCAATTGGTTTATTTTGTTCCATTTGACAATGAAGTCGAGAAGAATTAGTTTTTTCTCGTTAACTTAACATTCATTAACTGCATGAGCTTCTACAATATAAACAATGATCAATATCAACATGATCTTGATAAAAATTCATTAATTTAATTACGTAATTAAGTTATAATAACAGAATATGAAATGGTGGTCAAGTATATGAGCCAGAAATAAATACTAATGCTCGATTCAAGTCAAAATAACATAACAATGAAAGGAATTCATCATTCATATTTAAGAAACATCCACATTCATTCTACACACTATCTACTTTCACTCTTAGGATGCTACAAAATATTCATAAATGAGTATTTTCGATAAGAAAAAATTCGTCAGATATGTACAGGATGGAAAAAAGAGTTCTTTTTCCAGGAAGGAGTAACCGTACCATTTAAAATAGCACCCATAACAAGTTTTATAAAAAATAAAAGTGTATTAAGAATAAAATCTATCGATGCTAAATAAAAAAGAGAAAAGCAATCTTTTATTGGCTAGTTCAAGAAGTTTCCAGAATCCTTCTCTATAGTGACGTAGAAAAATTACTTTCATTAGATAATTCAAACTAGATCTCATTTAGAATGAGGGTGTGGGTGATTATCGCCAAATAAACAACAGATTGTAATTGTATGTCAAAGAATCTGAACACCTCATTCCATTTGTAGTCTAGTTTTTAGAACGAATTTTCCAATGACTTCACGTAGTTAGTGACTTTGATCATGATACTTGATCGTTTTCGTCTGTTCCTTCTTCTAACATAATATACAATCGATTTTAATTTTTATTCATTCATAAAAATTATTGAACTGCAAGAATAAAAATCTAGCAAAAACACAATCTTTGAATGAAGTCGAAAATCCTTCATCAGAGACATCAATTCAATTTCTTTCCTTTAAAAAACGTTGACCAGGTATCTTTACCATAACCCTTGCCTATCGCTTGAAATGAATGAGATCTAGCATCTGGCACTTTTTTGCCGAGATAATACACATTCCAAGTATCTTTGGCATAACCAGTGTAGGGTTGAAGTACTTCAAATGATTGTGACCGTGCTTCCGACATTTTATTTCCAAGATAAAACACATTGCAATTATCTTTGCCATATCCAAAACCAAGATCTTGAAATGAGCGTGCTGATGCATCAGCAACTTTACGATTGTTAAAGAACACATTCCAATTGTCTTTTATGTAGCTCACATGAATTGGATCAAAACCATAAAAATCTGTTCGATCAAATGGAATGGTTCTGCCATTGCTAGTGATAATACAGAAGAAGATAAAGATAAGAGAACTATGTCGATTCATCTTCATCATGAATAAGACTGCAAAGAAAAAAAGAATATTAATATTTGACCAACTATCGATAAAAACCGTCAGTATAAATATTAAGTCGAGGTGTGGGTGTGAAGAAAAAAACGAAAAACTTGTTATTTCATCGATCAAACTGAGAAATGTGCAAAATATCTTTTATTTGATGACAAATATTCATTATTTTTAGTTTTGTAAGATGTTTGAATTTAATTTGAGATAAATGATTATTTACATGGATTATTATGGTTGGAGAACGAAAAAAGAGGATACATTGTTAAGGCAAGTGTTGCTTCAAACTACGTATAATTGCGAACGGTCGTCAATACAATGGTACATCAAAATATTATTAATGATTACAATCTTATGCTATCCTGTCTTCTACATTATCTCTACCAAAATAATTTCTCAATGCAAGGAACTCAATTCGACTGTACTCTTCAGATTTTGTTACCTGCCGAAGCAACTATTGTCGCTAACGTAATACTTCTTCAACGGTCGCCTCCGTCAATCCAAAGCCCGCTTTCGAAATAAAAAGAAGTATTCGTTTTATTTGAAAAAGCAGAAAGAAACAAATTCAAAAGTGTTTTTCAAGTTTAACGCTGATAGCTTCTGGTTGACGAGCGAAATGTACTTCAAGAGTTTTAAATTTTTGTTTCATTTCATCACCAGGCAAGATGATGTATTGACGAAGAAGCCGGGATAAACATAATTTGATTTTCATTAGTACAAATCGTATTTCAACAGAATTACATAGACCTTGACCATATGGCATGTAAATCATTGGCTGTCGCCGAGTAAAATGCTGTTCAGCTATAAACAAATTTAGTACATCAGGACTTCATAAATCCGAATCATAATGTA